AGAACTTTTATTTGTTGAAAAAAATGGAAATGGAACAGCTGTCCGTGGAACGGGGTGTAGTAGCAGTAGACAATAACTACTTTACCCAAAATTCTTTATTTTTAAAAACAATCTAATCAAGTTTTCTTTTTCATAAATGCAAAAGTATGGATTATGAGAAATTTGTTGTGTTTCAGTTTTCTCCTTTGAAAAGCTTGGAACTTACCTTAAAAGCAATGGAACTTAGTTGGACTTTCATGTTCATCTTATAAATGGAGATGTAGTTTTAGTGCGCCACCGTAAAATCACTTTTTTAAAAGAAGTTTCATTGAAGTATTTGTAACCCTTGTTTTATGATAGTATAGATATCGTATATTTTTGAGAATGGGCATTTCATGTCTTCTGCGCTTGAATCACCCTCGATCTCATTAATCATGACCGAAGAGTATAATTAACATTGCGGAGCAGCCATTGCTTTTTGCAGCCATAAATCTCCTCTGTTCAGCTTTACGATTACGAGTCTACGCACATGTTTCACATATGTAACCTCATATAGCTTTTCTAATGAGATTTCTTAACTCAAATGGGAAAAAAACAAGTTATGGAATGGGAAAATGAACTGGCTTAGTTTCTTGCTTTTCTAGCATCTATACTCTATCGATCTCTGCTGCCACTGAAAATGGGAACATCCCTTGGTATTCCGAGGCATGCAGCAGTACATTAGCAAGCACATACTCAAGTGGTGCAACGGGAGAGAAGATGATTGTCACCACTGATTTGCACCATGCTTGCACCAATACCCATACTGGCACCTCAGCTAGTGCTCCTTTGGCCGCGGGTATTGTTGCGCTAACGCTCGAAGCCAATCCTGACCTCACTTGGAGAGATTTGCAGGTAAGGGTAACCTTGATCTGCCTATATTTGTCTATTTAAAAGATTTTTTTTTCTCAGCATATCGTAATCCGCGCGGCAAAACCTATCAATCTTCGTGCTGGTGATTGGGTAACCAATGGTGTAGGACGAAATGTTTCCCATTCATTTGGTTACGGTCTAATGGATGCGGGAGCAATGGTGCAATTGGCCCGGAATTGGACAACTGCTCCTGAACAGCACAAATGTCGACAATTTTACCCAAGCAGATTCAAGTAAGTTGAACCGCTTAGCCTGTTTTGGTAAGGTAATCTAATTTTTTCGGTTTTAGGACTATACCACATGGTAATCGGCTACAACTACAGTTGTATACGGATGGATGTGCTGGATCTCCCGATGAACAGGTCGTCTATCTGGAGCATGTACAGGCTATCATAACGCTGAAAGCACCAAAAAGAGGCGACATCCAGATCTACCTCACCAGTCCGTCGGGTAAGTTAGGCTATAGGCTTTTGAAAAAAAAAGAAGCAAATTATCTTTTTTAAGACGTCTAAAGACCTAGGGTAAGTAGTTAAAGGTTTGACTTGTAGGTACAAGATCTACACTTTTGACGAAACGAGCACGGGACACGAGTCGAGCTGGCTTCATTGAATGGGCCTTTATGACTACCCATAGCTGGGGCGAACTCGCTGCTGGTCTATGGACCCTTGAGGTCGACAATGATGGATGGGATGGTGAGTTTCTGGAGTTTTTTTCTTCCAAAGTCCCTAAAAATACTCACTCTTCCAACTTTTCCCATTATAGATGCGGAACTCGTAAAATGGGATCTGGTAATGTTTGGTACGGTAGACGAGACGACACAATATGGTGGAGGGCACAATTCTGCCCTTACAGCTCGATCCTTAGCCCATATCGAAGAAGTACGCAAAACTGCACCACCATCTACCCTCTGGCAGCTTGTAGCCTCGCTTTCGTTGC